ATGAACACAATTTACTAGCCGTATATTAATATATATATATATATAAATATTTATTTATAAAAATACTTGAACAAATGGAATTCTTTAATATCTATGAAATTCATAAGTTAATCTTCAGCATTCAGTCGGCCTTTTCCCTTCCAAACATAGATGGATGGTCATAGCCCACCCGTGCTAACAATTGTCCATGGTTGTACCCGGCTGGCGACATGAGACCTCCAGCCGACGAGCCACCCCCAAACGGCAAAAAATATACACCACCTGTCTTCGCCACCTGAGAATAAACCCTAATGGCTCCACACTGACCAATGGGTACATCGACAGCAGGTCTGCGCCGATGAAACCATTTCCTATGAACTGATATGAAAACGTGAGTTGACCTTTCAGCTTCCCGTCGGGATTCCTCCCTTTGTAGCTCACGAACTTCCTCCCGCCTTCCCAACCATCAAAGAGCTCTTTCACGGGCACGCTGACCCGATCGGTGATTTTGTCCCCCAAAGCCCTTCTGCAGACGAGCTTGAAGTCGAGGAGGCAGTTCTGCTGCAGAGACGCCTCCTCCACCGTGAACTTCATCGGGAAGCCCCAAGTCTGGTTGTTGCCCCCGGCAGTGTCGGAGGGCGTTTTGGTCTTTTGCTTCGAGTACTTATCACCGCCCGAGATTGAGACCACGGCATGCACATCCATTCTTGATATGAGGTTTACTTTGTGCATGTTGAAGGCGTATTGAAGCGTCATTCTCAAGGTTCCATAATGATCCATCTTTTGTATATTAGAAAAAAAAAAAATCAAGAAAATAATAGAGTGTAAATGAAGGTTTTTTAATTTTTTACCGAGAAGAGTAGTGAGTGTTGTACGTATAGAGAGGGATATGATGTATATATATATATATATATATATATATATATACTATTTTGGCTCACGCACGGCGGACTGACACCTAGTGTAAAACTACAGTGAAAATTTGTCATAAGTTGTTGCAGTTTCTATTCTAGTGTATGTTGTAGTTGTTCACATATATTGTGTCTTTTTTGTTTGTATGGAAATGTTTTAAGATTTTGCTCTTTTGAATTTCGTCAGTGGTTTATGAGTTGCGAGGTTGTTTATATCCGTGAGCTAACAATGTAATATCCGTCAAATTACTTCACACGTGAGTTTCAATTAGTATGTGCGACCAAAAAGATATAGAAACTATTTGAAAGAAGTACTAAGATTAACATACATCCAAAGTTGAGATTTGAAATTCTAAATCGTCTCGATACAATAGCTGGTGATTGAGCATTAATCCTCAAGATGCTTTATCATCCATGCTATATATGTCACAAACGATCTCCAAGGAGCCAACCAGTTGCACGTGACATGACATGAGAAAGAGAAAGATTGACTCTGAAGTTGTTTGTGAAGGTAAATGTTAATGAAATACATTCTTGACCCTCATCTCATCCATCACCTCCTTTTGTTTTTGGTATAGTCGATGTAGTTTGTGGACCTGGGAGAACAAACAAACTAAAAGTGATTATTTTCCTAAATAGTGCTTTAGACGTACAGTGTTTTTGTGCACACTAAGTGATTATCGGCTTTTAGATAGGAAAAAAAAAATGCTCGTGCTTTATAATCTGCATGTGAAAAATCACTTTACCTGTTTCAGTTTTTGCCAACACTCCATAAAGACCACATCAATCTTACAGATACTACAAAAATCTAACCCAATTTCAACCAGCCAAATCGTCTTGCAAACTTTGAGACAACTGCATATCATGTTACCAGCACCACCTTGTATGTTTGTATATTTACCCAAAATATACATATGTCCATCAAACTGCAATTTTTAAACGTAGAGACAATGCCATTGGGGCATTTAACTTTTGAAATGCAATTAGTTTTCTGTAAGTTTTCTATTTATCCCTAATTTATTTTAACAAGTATTGATATTAACTATTAAGTGAAGGTCACATAGTAATAATATTCTTAATATTGCACTGCCCAAATCACACGGCTTCAACTGATGTGCGTGAGAATTAACATGCAGCAAAAACATTATATTAAAAGCAAAAGTTACAACTTAACAATTACTGAAATTGTGGGGGGGGACCCACATTAGAATATTTAGAAAGAATTATGAAACAATTGCATATCTGGAAAATTAAAAAGTAGATCCTTATTTTTTTTTCAAAAAAAAAAAACATGCATACTTTCAAATTCATATTTAGAATATTCATACAATTAAAAATCAGGTACAATGACAAATGCAGCAAATGAAAGGGAAGCTTAATTCATCAAAATAAAACAGCAACCATACCAGAAGATTCTGGGGTTTAATGTCCCGATGACATACGCCAATAACTCTATGCATAGAATTCAAAGCTCGGCTGTAACACCCCACTTTGATTTTACAGAAATTCCAGACTTTCCAAAAATCAGTACAAATTTTTCGAGATCATTTTCGAAATTTAATGGGTGTTAAACAACATTTTCATAACCCAAGTCTTATCTGGGCCCGCGGGGATTCATTACCCGGTTTTCACAAATAGTTTTCATTAACTAAAACGTATCATACGAGACTTAATACTCAACATGAATAATCAAACCACATCATCATACCCAATAATCAAGTTTTCCACAAAGTTTCCAAAAACAAACATGCCATAAGTTTTGGAAAAAGGTTTAAGCAAGTCTCAACCTAAAGATTCATAAAGTTTTATTTATTACTGCGGAAGCATAAAATGCATAATGATATGACCGACCCACTCGCCTCTTCTCGTCACCCAGCTCCTGCTTAACCTGCATTGGTGAAGAGCAGGTGGGGATGAGCACAAGATGAAAAGCGTGCTCACCACTATGTACATATATAACAACATAAATAATGAAGAGAAGGTATGGTTAGAGTATGAACATAAAACAATTAATCTGTCACTTCTCCTAATCACATCACAACATAATACCCACGTGTACACATCTTTCATTAGCCAAGGAAAGGGGATTCATTACCCTAACTCATGGGGGTACGTGCCATACGACAAGGCACGGCCTTTCATTAGGTCTTACGGAGACTTACCTCGCAGGTAACCGTATTACATCGACGGGGACAACCGTACCGACGGCCGAATCGGCTCACGCCGATAGGCTACATGGTTTACGTACATACTAAAATCATACCAAGTCAACATCATGATAAACACATATGGCATAGCAAATTTTACAATTACAACCCACCTGGTATCGGTTGACAAACCAAATAACCAGAAAGCCGTAGGTGATTGAGACACTGCTCTTCAGACACCTACATAAGTCAAGACAGTCCCATAAGCAACTATCTCGACTCTTACACAGATAACGAGAATTATACTTAGTCGAATGACATCGACTAAGGAACTCGTGGAAAGTTGTGGAGTTGGAACATTAGGACGACTCCTAGACTCGACCAATCAATTAATAAAGGGAGTTAGATTTGGATATTTCAACTCAAATTTTTACAGCATTTGGAGGGCTGAAAAACACACATTTTCACCAAAGGAAAACCTTTAAACATGCTCCTAACTATTTTAAATAATTTACTCAAAATCTGATTAGAAATCAAATTAAAACCTTTAAAATAGTTACAGTCCGATTTTTAACTTCAAATTTTTACAGAAGCAAGATATTCCAAAGAACAGCAACATATTCAAAATTTAGCCAAATCGGACAAGAACTCGATTTTATAAGAATTTATTACGAAACAGCCCAAAAATAGTTTTTAAGTTTTGACAAGGCTACAGGCCATATAAAATTCTCAAAATTTTACCACAAGTACTACAACAACAACTTTACAACATATCCAAAAATCAGAATTTTTGGAGTAATATACGATTTATAATGATTTTAGCAAAAACGGACTGCATCACGATTTTCAAAAATTCATATCTTTCAATATATATATCGAAAAGACGCAAGGCCAAAACCGTTGCGTTAAGAACATTCCTAAGTCCAATAATCCACAACACTTCCACATAAAATATTACATTAACCTCAATTCGACAATTTTTTTTTTTCAAAGTGACGACAATCACTTTGACACCCAAACGGAATATATATATCAATATTCACTCAAGTTCATATTTAATGGCACGAATTAGCTCGATTGACACACCTTCAGCAATTAACACACGTACGAGCACCTAAACACATATAAACGAACGAAATAATTAAGTCGAGAGTTAGCCCGGGTACCGTTCTCGGGACGGGGCTACGAAAACGAGCAACAAAATAACAAACGAGCTCGCTAATGGGATCACGGGACCTCCGGGACTGCTGCGATCGAGCCCGAGACGATTCAAACAGCGGCAACACACAGAACAAGGC